CATGAACCACATAAGGTGATAACTAGCTTTCCAGGCTAGCAAGAATCGTATTTAAATCGTATTGATCTGTACAGAAATCAGGTCTAAGTTGAAGAATTCTATGTATCTAGAAAGTTGCATGTTAGTATAATTCCACCACTTCACAGGATTCAGCCATTAGACTCTATGTAGTCCCTCCCCTCTATTATTATTACAATTAGAATTCATAAGAAGACAAATAATCACGTATGTATAGCTTTATCTGGACTGCTCTTGAATGAAGAATGCAGTGTACAAAGGACTAGGGGACATTCAAGGACTAAATGGGAAGGAAAACTGTTCTTTAAATGCTTGGAGACATCTAGGAAGTGCAATAGTCAGCTCTTAGCACTGAAACTTGACAGCAGAATGGATTGCTCTGAGATACAATTGCTAAAAATGGTGCAGAAGGAATATGTTCTATTTTCACAGGCTTTTTTCGATTTAGGCAATCAAAAACAGCACCTGCTAAATAGGTTGTCTATTCACTTAAAAATAGAATTTAAGTAGGGAATATTAGTTTAGAACTGGGGGTGGCACTTAGTTGACAAGCAGCCAAACACGGTCAGATTTGCTTAGTATTAGTTATTAATATATCCATCAAGAAATCCCAGACTTACAGACAAAACTGGGAATTTGGAATATCCTAGAAGGTGGCAATAGGAAACTAATTCTGCATCTTCCATGAAAGCTATATAATCAAACAATCACCAAGAACTAATTTCTTGTTTGTTAGGGTTTACTAAAATACAGTATTCATATAGCAACAACCACTTAGATCGTGTGATCAACAAAACAACGGGCAAAACCATTTCTGTGTTGAGATAGGACATCATCATCATACAGGTCAATAGACCACAGTCCAGTCTTATGCAGTAATAAATTGAATGGTCTTTATGGTGTCTAGATTCTCATTTTATCCTTCCCGAGTCAGAATACTTATGTCGTCTAAGTGGCACAAATCTCCAAAAAAACCTAACCCCAAATTATTAAAAAGTTTTGCAAAACTCTCAAGGTTTGCAGGAGAGATGTATTTTCTCCCTGTCCCACTCCACCTCTTCGTCCCCTTCCCCTTCCTACCTATCCTCCTACCTCTCCTGCCTCTGCCCCTCTCTTCTCTATTTCCCTCACTCTCCCTTCCTCTCCCTTCCCTCTGGTAACCTGCATGGATGAAGTCATGAAAACATTTAAATTCCCCCCCCCCTCCATATGTTTCTACCCATCCTTCTCCTTGTCCCATTCCCTCCCCCCTCTCCCCCTCCCTCCCCTCCCCTCGATATTTTCCCTGGTCCACTGTACCTTTTTGTCCCCTTCCCCTCCTCCTTCCTATATCCCCCTGCCTTTCCTGCGTCTCCCCCTCTCATCCCCATTCCCTCCATCCTCCCTCTCCCTCCCTTCTCCATTACCTCTGCATGGATGAAGTCTTAAAGACATTATAATTCCTCCCCCCCTCTTTGTCCCTACCTGCCATTCTCCCTATCCCCTCCCCTTGCTACTCCGCCCCAGCTCATTCTACTTCTTCATCCCCCACCCCTTCCTCTTCCTTATCCCCCTCTTGCCTCTCTCTCTCCTCCCCTCCCTCTCCCTTACCTCTGATAATAATCTGCATGGATGAAGTCATAAAGGCATTATTATTCCCTCCTGCCTATTTATGCATACTTTCCCTTCTCTACCTGGCCTGTCCCACTTCCCTCCCCTCTCCTACTGGGTCCGCTCCACTTCTTCATCCTCCTCTCCTTTTGCTTCTTCATCCCCTCCCCTCCCTTCCTATCCTGTCCCCCTTCTCTCTCTCCCTCCCGTCCCATCCATCCTACTCCGGCCTTTTTGTCTCCTTCTCCCTTTCCCTGCTCCTCTCCTCCCTTTTGACCTTTTCTTCCTCCCATTCCCCATACCTAATATCCTTCCTGTTCTCCTCCCCCTGATCCTGACCCTGACTCTCAACCTCACGCTCCCTCAGCCTGTACCTCCCCCTTTCACTCTCACTCTCATCTTTCCCCGGCTTAACCCTCTCACCCCCACCCTAAACCTAACCCAAACTTTCACCCTCACTTACCCCTCTGAGACTTGGCTACAAAAGGAGGGAAGCTTCCCCAGAGTCCAGGAGCCTTACTGAAGAGCAGCTCTGATAACTAGTAACTGAAAGTAACTGATACTTTAGCTTGCAGGGATGAAGTCATAAAGCCCAAGGAGATGAGCTGCCTCCCTTATCGTCCTATCAAAGGGCACCTGCTCCTGCACCATTGTGACCTACACTCATGCCACACAAATGTCTCTAGGAAGCTACCAAACCAATCATTAAAGCTCTCTATTTGTCATTTTTTGTATGGAAGCCATAGATTTTGTGGTGTGGATTACTTTTTGTTATACAACCACCATTAAGCGCTTTAGCACTGTTGAGCAGCTTAATAGTCGGCTGTTTGTAGATCTTGAAGTAGATTGCCTCATTGAAATTAATAGGACTGAATCTAACAGATCTCACGGCTTTTAGTGACACAACTTAGACAAAGTTTGAATCCAGGCCATTGACTGGAAAGACCAATAGATTTTAAAACCAAATCAATCAGTCTGTCCCATTTAGACCCACTGCAATATATGCTTTGCATTCTTTTTTGTTTGAAAAAGGGGGAAAAAAATCTTTGAAATGTATTACTTTCTTCTCCTGTTGTTTGAAGTCTGTCTTCCACATATGTCTCTGTCACCTTGCCTTATTTAGTGAGTGAAGCTCCTTCTGTTTTCCTCATGAAAGAGGCAGGGCTCTATAAACAATTGAAAAATGACAGTGGAAACGGAATATGGGGGTAAAATTAAATTGCATGCAAACCTACTCTAGGGGATCAATCTGCTTGTTTACATTAGTGACAAGAGGGTCTCCTGCTTGTGCAGGGGCTTGGATTAGAAGACCTCCAAGGTCCCTTCCAATTCTATTATTTAGGGGAACAAAGCATCATTGAGGGTCCCTAGGGGACTGCAGAAAACTAAATGTCACATTGCAGTGGGGAACAATTTGTGACATGAGTAATAGAATGAAATAACAGGCTCTGGAAGGGAAGGGATTTCTTTTTACAAACAAAAAATAAAACCAATTGGTTCATTTCCTGAATTCCTGACTGGCTTAAGGGATAAAAACATATTTATCCTGCCAACCCTCTAGCCAACCTCTTTTTTTTTTTAAAGTTGAAATAAGGCTACCCTGAAAAACTAATGTTCTTTGAAAGTATTGTCTCCATTATCCTGACAAACCAGGCCTTGTCCCTTTGGATGAGAAGACAGCTGACAGTGGTTACAAAACATCTATGTGTGATTTGTGCATGGTGGTGGGGGAAGTATATGCTTTAATGATAATAACAGAATACTAGAGTTGGTAGAGACCTTGGAGGTTTTCTAGTCCATCCCCCCGCACAAGCAGGAGACCCCATATTATTTCAGACAAATGGTTGTCCAATCTCGTCTTAAAAACTTCCAGTGTTGGAGCATTCACAACTTCTGGAGGCAGGTTGTTCCACTGGTTAATTGTTCTAATAGTCAGGAAATTTCTCCTTAGTTCAAGATTGCTTCTCTCTTTGGTTAGTTTCCATCCATTGCTTCTTGTCTTGCCTTCAGGTGCTTTGGGGAATAGCTTGACTCCCTCTTCTTTGTGACAAACTGTGAGATATTGGAACACTGTCATGTCACCCCCTCGTCCTTCTCTTCATTAAATTAGACATAGCTTTCAAGGTGGAAGAGATGGATAAAAATTTAACTGTGGCTAATAAAGAGTTAATGACAGTGGTGACGTTACTGGAAGCGGAGAATGTGACCCAATATCTTAAATTCCAAAATGTTGTAGAGGAAAGAGAAGATCTTCCAGACAAAATGGCGGATTTGTTGGCAGGAGCTCTTGAGATAGATAAAGAAGAGATGATTGTTGGGATGGATGAGACATACAGGGTGCAGACAAACTATGGGAGATGACATAACTTTCCTAGAGAAGTCCATGTGAACTTTATAAAAAAGAAAATTAGAGATGAAATACTATATAGAACACGTGACGAACAGTTGGAATATGGAGGAAAACAAATCACAGTGTTAAAACAAATACCTAAAAGGATGAGAGACCTCCGGAAGAACTACCTCTTTCTGACGTCCAGGTTACATCAAAGCAATGTAAATTTTAGATGGCTAACACCAGAGGGGTTTATTGTGACTTGGCAGGAGAAGAGGTTTAGATTGGATACAGTGGAGAAAGTGGAAGATTTCTATAGGCAATACTGTGCCTCAGAGGAAGACTTGAGAGATCTTGGAGAAGAAAGAGCTATGGTTGAAAAAGAAGAGATATTGAACGAATGTTGGATAAAAGAGAGACAGAGCAAAGCATGGAGGAAGTGAGAGGAGGAAGAGGACAAGATGAGGTAGAACAACAGGGGAGAAGTTCAGAGGAGGCGAAGGAAATAAGAATTACTAGAAGCACAAAGACATGACAAAAACAGGATAATGGGAGAGGAGCATAGGATTTGGTCAACAAATATAGGGGGCTGGATGCACCAGTAAAGCGTCGGAAAGTTTTTAGTAAGCTTATTAAATTAAATACAGATATTATCGCGTTACAGGAGGTTCACATAAAAAATGATCAAGAATATCTCTTAGAACCTAAATTAGGTAGGCTATGTTTCACTAGACGAGAAAAAAAAAAGAGGAGTAGCTTTGTATATTAAGCAGAAGATAACTTTGAAACAAATTTATAAAGACAAACAGGGAAGGGCTTTGATAATTGAGGCTAAACTGAAAAAAAAACATAATAATTGTTGTAATATATGCCCCAAATAGAGCTCAAGTATCCTTTTTTAAAAATCTTCTTAATAAGCTGATATAGAAGGAGATGGTTTTTGTACAATTGGAGATTTCAACGTGATCGCAACTAAAACAAAAGACCATAAAAGCTTTCAAATGCTTATGAAAGGGATGATCGGAGCCAATAACTGCTTTATCCTCTTTTTTCCCGTTAGGAATATTATTCCCGGGTTGCAAAACTTCAAACCGTCACTAGAGGGAACAACAGATGAGTAAACTTCAACCTTCTATTGCCACCAAGCGGTCTTTCCATTTCATGCAGCACCAGCCACTTCTGAGCTGCTTTGGAAAAAAACCCGAGCTTCTCCACAGAACAAAGCGCGCTTTTGTTTGCATCAGGTGGGTCCCGAGGAAAACCTTAGTCTACTTAAAAGTCTGTCTTCGCGTTTTAGTCAGACATGTCCGCAACGCCCTGCGGTTGCTCACAACGCATCCCCCGTTTCCAAGTTGAACCGGAAATGAAGGCTGTGAAAGACCAGCCCCTTTTCCGCTTCGGAGAATCCGAGGCGCCGTGACGACGGCTAGAACGGCAGTAAGGGGTGGGAAGCGTAAAGATCTTGGTCTCTTGCCTGTTGGAGGACGGTTTGTAGGATGATTAAGGAAGGCTGAATCGCTTCCCACGAGAAACCGGGTCTGTCGGTCGCTGTTGTTGCAAATCGCCGCCTTTTGCTTGCATGCTACCTTTTGCATTGGACCGCCACTTATCCTTTTGGGTCGAGATATTTATCTATCTGCGGGGATGTGCAGCTAGAGAGCATCGGATCCTATGGAAGAATCGTTTGAGATACATTGATCGCAGATCTATAGGCTGATTTGCAGTAAGTTGGCAACGATTTTTGACCGGTTAGAGAGGGGAGTTAGTTTTAAATTAAAACTAAATCTTGAGTGGCCTTCTCCTAGTAGTTGCTTATGTTTTGGCATGACTGCCTTGCTGTTTTGTTGCCTTGACCCTGATCTGGGTGCAGTTCTCCTAGTGTCTTCGAGAGTTACACGTTGCATTTTTGATTAATACATTAATCAAATATGGTGCACAGAATAGGGTACCAGGGCTTCCGCTGATTTTTATTATTTTTAGAATCTCTCTTTCAGACATTTCAACACGTTTAATTTCATTTTACATTTAGGTTTAATCCTATCGGTCCATGAACCTGGCTCTGATAAGTAGACCTTGGTTTGGATTAAAATAAGAATAAAAATAAGGCCTAAATCTGCCTGTCCTGTTTTAATTCACAACTGCATTTATCACATACCTGTAAAGTACATTAAGGCAACCTTTTGTCTTTTTCCTGAGCATTTTGTAAATCAAAACTTATGTTCTATGATAACTGATAGACATAAAATTGATTAATTGATGAAGTAGTGGGTCTTATTTAGAAGTCTTTTGGGCCTTTATGATTTTAATGCTAGTTATTTCCTCATTTTTCATGGAAACATCTTTATAGGAATTACAAGGGGGATATTAATTGCCACACATAATCTGTTTAAAAACAACTATTATCAAGTAACTTTAGTAAAGGACAAAGTTAAAGGTGCAGACAACCTTTCCCATCTTCTCTCCATCTGAAAACATGGAGTCAGCAAAATTTAGTTTTAACAAAGATCATTGTTTGTTTATTCTGTGTTGGTTCGAGAGGACACCTAATAAAGGCTGGAAAAGTTCAGCCTGGGTGAACATTTGGGATTTTCTTTTTTAATTTCATAGAAACAGTGAAGCAAAAGAGAATATTTGAGTTAACATGAGGATATGCTTGATTTAGTCACTCAGTTTGTAAATCCTATTTCAGAAACTCAATGAGGATAAACTGACATTAAGATAATATATAATTCAGGACAACTTTTTGATGCATGTAATGTGGGGATGGAGGAAGTACCAGAGTGAGGCTTGGAGCTGAAAAAAAAAGTAGGTAAAAAGTGAGGCCTCAGTTTTATTAGCCACTGATATAAATGATATTATTTTATCTTTAGTCCAGTGGTTCTCAACGTTTGTGTGACGGCGACCCCCGTCACACAAACGTTATGCGCATGCATGGCGCCGCGCGCATGGGGGCGCTGCCCCCATGCGTGGTGCGCATGCGCGCGCTGCCCCCATGCGCGGTGCGCATGCGCGGTGCCGCCCCCTGAGGGGAGAAAATGGTGGATCGCCTTCTTTGGCGACCCCCGAAAAATGGTCGATCGACCCCAAATGGGGTTGCGACCCATAGGTTGAGAACCGCTGCTTTAGTCAAAATGACCTGGGTTACAACTGTATTGCTTCCAAGCAATGAGTGCTTTGTATCTGAAGGACAATATTACTGATTTGGTACAGTAATGAGTTGCTTTAAGAAACAACGGTAATTTTAGACTCTGAGGCAGAGATTATATTATTAATTTATAAATAAATGTTTGCCTCAGTCATTTAAACTGTACTATGAGCAGTGTCCAGAAAGCAATGGAGGATGCCTTGTATTTAATGACACAATGTTCTTTCCTATCACCTCAGCCCCTGCTAGCTAAATAGCCATCGCAGCAAAATTCCCAGAGTTATGTTTTATTTCTCTATGTTGAAACTGGAGCCTTTGCAGCCCTTCATAGCTCCATAACAAACATCAACAACAACAAAAAAACAATTCAAAATTATGCTCATTGCTTCCATTATCAGAAAAATATTTATAGATGGATTTGGTTAAAAAAAACCCCAACTCTTAGAAATTAGCAGGTTTTACTTGCAAGATTAACTCATTACTACGCTACTTTTCTGTTATTTAAATGCTGTAAAATGATCCATGAATTCCAGGTTTAAATAACTCTAACATGTGGTAAAATTAATAGACTCTAACCACAGTTTACTTTATTCCAATTCAAATAAATTTGCTCCTGTATAAATGGAGAATAATCTTTTTGAGTTTCCTGTTGCCCTTGCTGAATCATATGGAAATATTAATTTGTCAGAAGATTGCCAGTTCTAATGATTGTATATTTTCATGATAGGTTCTTGAAGAATGTTTGTTCCGAGATCTCTCAAAGTCAAGAGGAATGTGGTTTATGAGGAGTGCTGTGTCGCTAAGAAAAACAAACCCTCCCCCAATGAATTTGCTTCTGAAAAGTGTACAGAACTCAAAGAGTCTGACATAGTAGATGCAGCAACTGTTGAGACTGATTCATTGAAATCAGTAGAAGGAGACACTGCACCACAGATATTTGTAGATTCAACTCTGGCCCTTTCTGAATCAGAGTCAGAAAACAATGAGGACTCTTGTGATACAGAAGAACCGATAAAATCTTTCAGTAAAATTCAGCGCTGGCCACAATCGGGGGAACCTGTATGTGTGGTCTGTGGTCGGTATGGGGAGTACATCTGTGACAAGACTGATGAAGATGTATGTAGTTTGGAATGTAAAGCCAAGCACCTTCTACAATTCAAAGGGGAGGAGGAAAGCTTAAAGCCTACTAAGAGTGAACAAGCCATTTCTCAGCCTGGTGTTGCTTATGTGTATGAAGAGAATGAATTCCTGTTAAGTCTTGAGGATGAGCAGATCGAAAGTTTAAAACAGCAGCTTGGCATAGCTGTTGAAGGGCAAGGAGTTGCAAGACCCATTGTTGAGTTTGAACATTGTGGCTTCCCAGAAATCCTCAGCGGCAATCTAAAAAAAACAGGCTATGAAGTCCCAACCCCTGTCCAGATGCAGATGATTCCAGTTGGGTTACAGGGCAGGGATATTTTGGCAACTGCTGACACCGGCTCAGGGAAAACTGCAGCTTTCCTCCTTCCCGTTATAATTAAAGCTTCAGAAGAGGTAACCTTTGTTCGTTGACAGGATCCATGTTTGTTGAGAAGAATTGTTCAGACATTCCAAAGCATTATCCTTTTGAGAAATTCTGCATTAGATCTCAAACTTTGTTGTTGTTTTCCAGAGAAACCATACATCTAAGCTCTTTTTCAATTTAGGTTTTTGTCTTTCCGTTACCTCATTTAAAATATGTGATTAAATTTGTGATATTAGCTGTGGAAGAAATTTATACCTGGGTAATTGAAATATAAATACTTCTGAAGACTGGTTTTTTTAAAAAAAAGCATAATCATTGTAATGAAAGCATAAGCAAATCTTCCTTCCCATGTTCAAATGACTCCTTCCACTTGCTCTCACTTCTTCACTAAAGGCAGAATATTGGTTTATTGGTGTATACCGCTGCAATATGTTATACATCAGGCGTCTTCAGACTTGACCCTTTTATGACTTGTGGACTTCAACTCCCAAAATTCCTCAGCCAGCGTGCCTGGCTGAGGAATTCTGGGAATTGAAGTCCACAAGACATAAAGGGGCCAAGTTTGAAGACCCCTGTTATAGATGGTATAATTACTAACATCACTAGATTAACCATGGATGTAGTGATGGTGTTGGGTTTGTTTGATATAAATGAACCCCTCTCACATTTTATTTTTCTGAAATTTTTAACAAAAGGAAAAAATCAGTAACCTGTTATTTGTTTTTATCCTTTTTAAGACAGAGACTTTGTCTGCTCTTATTCTGACACCAACAAGAGAATTAGCTATACAGATAGAGAAGCAAGCTAAAGAGCTCATGATTGGTCTACCAAATATGAGAACCGTTCTTCTGGTTGGAGGATTGCCTTTACCACCCCAGCTTCATCGGCTGAAGCAAAACGTTAAGGTAAATCATGTTATGTTATATCCTTAAGATCTGAATGAGCATTTGATGCAATTTAAGTTCAGAATGGCATAAAAGTCAGAGAACCTGATTGAAAGGGTGCCTTTATTTTATTGGCAAGTTCCAGAATAGCAGATAATTATTTTCAAAACTGGACCATAAAGGAAAAAGAAAATAAACTTTTTTCTTCTTACTCATTCGCTCAGCAAGTTAATTAAAACTTTGTTAGGAGTAACAAACTTCATAAAACAAAATACAGTATTGTGAGATTATAAAAGTTACAGTAAAGCAAGAGGTAGTTCATGATTCATTGCTTCCATCTTTACAAAGACAAAGCCTTTTAGCATAGAGAATTTTTGTGGTATTTGCCTCTAACATTGCTGACAGTAATGGGGTTATTTGTAGGACTCACAGTTCTTGCTCAAAGAGTAAGTAACAGGAGGCCCTTGCACAGCTCCATCTTGTATACTAATTGTACCCATTCCTGGATCTGGAGGTTTTCCTCAAAGTTACTCATAGTTTAATCTCCTAGTGATTAGATTACTGCAGTTTGTGTTCTACATGGATCTGCCCTTAGTACTTACTCAGGAGCTTCAGCTGGTCCAGAAATCAGCAGCATAGTAGTTCTGTATGTGTATTGATATGTGCATATGTGCACTGATAATGCCTTTACTCTGTAAACCACCAGCTACCCCCACAAAGTAAGAGTCTTGGATTAAATCTCTTCTCCACTTCCAGCCCCCTGAACTCGTCCATAAAGATATCCTGGTCACTAGTATTGAAGGCTTCTGAAAGATTCAGGAGAGCCAGGATGGATGTAACATTTCCACCTGAATTTATCTAGGTCAGTAACAAATGTGATCAATACTAGGCCCTTTGAACTACAGCATGACACCCTTCTTAACAGCCTTTCTTTAAAATGAAAATGAAGACAGGCCAGAAGTTATCCAGCATAGTTTTGACCACAAATGTCTTCTTCAGTCATTCTTCAACCTCCTTAAATTCAAGCAGGATCACTCTTTCTCTTAAAATATTCACTTTTAGATACAGCCATATACCAACCAAGAAGGGCATAGATCTCAAATACTGATAGACACAGAGGTCCAAGAAATTGTCCTTTTTCTCCAGGCTAATAGAATCAAACTTTCCTCAGATAAGTACATCAGTCCATGTTTCAACTACTTACGCAGAACCAGTGCATCCATCTCTGAGCAAATTAAGTAATTTTATGTTTCATGTGCTGTGAAAAATCCTGTTTTTCAAATGTAAACATTTTCTTACCTTGGACATTTGATGTAATACTTTGTTGGAATTTGTAATAACAATGAATTTATTTATTTTCTATTATTTGTATTTCTTGCCTCTTATTTTAGGTGATCATAGCTACACCTGGAAGGCTCCGAGAAATTTTAAAGCAATCCTCTATTCAACTTCATAATATAAAAATTGCTGTTGTTGATGAGGTAAGTGTATATTATTGCTCAAAAATGTGTCACTAGTGTAATAACTCTTCTATTTTGAGGGGGGAGGAGATTAAATGACTCCTTTTCGGTGTGATAACTAAACACTGTAAACCACAGTCCGCAAAACATTACAATTTTAATACTGTAGTTTATGCATAATTAGATTTTTAGCAAGTTTGGGTTAACTTAGCATAAAATGTTATCTTGTAGTATCTCAAGACTTTTTCATCTGCCAACGTTTAAAGATATGTTACAGCAGTTATAAATTACAGCTGAAGATTCTCTTGTACTTGGCAAAAAGGCAGCTGAGTTTGTAAAAGTGTTTCCTTTCACTTACTTTGGTCATTGAAATAGGCCAAATTTCAAACAACTTTCTATCATGCTAGACCAGTGTTTCTCAACCTTGACAATTTTAAGGCATGTGGACTTCAACTCCCAGAATTCCACATGCCTTAAAATTGTCAAGGTTGAGAAACACTGTGCTAGACTATTATTGTTGACAGAAGCAGTGGCCAGAAAAGAGACATAATTTGAAATTCTGGGAATATGTACTTCTTAACCAGGTTGTCTTTGTTACTCAAATAACTTTACTGTAATACTTTTTTTTTTCATTACAACCACTATCTAAAAGAGTGCACTTTCTCTCTCTATGGGCATCAATATTCAGAACCATCAGCTGGCATAATTATTGCTGGGAGATGAAGTTCATGCCATAGTGAAGTCGTTAAGTTTGGGAAGCGCTGATATGAAATTCCAGATAGATGTTGATAATGAATGTAAAATAATCTTTTCACGTATCTTAAGAATAAAACAAACACTAGTTAATCCATTTCTTTTTTAAAAATAGGTTGACACCATGCTAAAGATGGGCTTCCAGCAGCAGGTGTTAGAAATTTTGGAAAATATTCCCAATGATCATCAAACCATCTTGGTGTCAGCCACAGTGCCTTTAAGCATTGAACAGCTGGCAAGCCGACTTCTGCAGAATCCAGTGAAAATAACAGTTGGAGAAAAGAATCTGCCATGCTCCAATGTTCGCCAGATTATTTTGTGGATAGAAGAGCCTTCCAAAAAGAAAAAGCTTTTTGAAATATTAAACGTTAGTATCCTCATGGGAACACAAGTCTTCGCTTCTTTTTATCGACCGTAGATACTTGGGAAAAAAATGAGCTAGAACCCTTGCTATAATCAGTTCTGTTCTTGGAAATATAACCATTTAAACCATAAATTTATTTCTCTTGGGTATCTTTTCCATTGAAATGTTGATAGTATGAATCTTATTGGTTATGCAGACTTGCATTTTACTGCATGCATGCATTCATATATGTATATGTATATATATATATGTGTGTGTGTGTATGTATATGGGTGTGTGGGTGGGTGTGTCTGAACCTGTGATGGTGGAAGTTGCTTAAATTAAGAAACAACTAATATCCAAAGAATTATGGCATACTCGAAGGCATTTTAGCTATGTTTGAATAGAAACCATGCCACACTATATTGTACAAGTTTTCACAAGAGTGTTAAAATAGTTTGTATTATGGCATGTTTCCTTGATAAGAAACTAAAACACCAAACCTTTGGGCTTTGAGAATTTAAACAGCTCTTTTGATTGGGTCAGATTATTTAAATCCTCATGCTGTTAAAAGCTTTTTAAAAAACTATGGTAATAGAAAATAATGGCTGATATTTGCCTTCTTTTTACTATTTGAAAACTATTTCAAAACATTACTAATTCAGGCTTAGTAATATTGGAAAATAGTTGGATAGTTCTTTTGCTTTATTTATCACCACTAAATCTCACACTATTCCATTTATCTTTTTTTTGGTACATAAATTAATCTTTTTTACTTTATGTTCACTGTATTCTCCCTGTTCCCCCTCCCCCCCTTCTTTTTTAGGATAAGAAACTCTTTAAGCCTCCAATACTGGTATTTGTGGAATGTAAGTTGGGTGCTGATCTTCTGAGTAATGCTGTTCATAAAATCACAGGATTACAGACAACCTCGATGCATGCTGAGAAATCACAGTCAGAAAGAACTGCAATTTTACAGGTTTGTAAACATCTGGGGCCTATCTAGAAGCTAGCTAAATCTGTGGTTAAAAAACTCTAAACCAGAGGTTCCCAAGGTTACGTATCAGGACCTATGAAGTTCCACAAAGTCAATTTTTTCAAAATTTCTATGTTTTAATTTCTAATACAGTAAATATCGATACAGTAACTGCAACCCATATAAACCAAGCTCTTTGGGGGTACTCAGTCATTTTTAAGAATATAGAGGGGTCTTAAGACCAAAATAATTGAGACCTGTTCCTCTAGACCCAGTACATAGCTATTAGGTAGAGCAGGGGTCTTCAAACTTGGCCCTTTTGTGACTGGCTGAGGAATTTTGGGAGTTGAAGTCTACAAGTCATAAAAGGGCCAAGTTTGAAGACCCCCTGAGGTAGAGAATTTGAGATTTGAGATTGACCTCTTATTGAGTTTCCTTTTAGATGAAAGTTACTTTTCATATCACAAAATATATCTCAAGATTCATTATGTTAGCTAAAGCAGCGATGGAATCAGATTTGGGAATTTAAGTTCATAGGAAATGTCTTGTGAGGAAAATGCTTTCAGCTTTATTAAATTACATAGGTGCTTCTTTATCCTTATTGTTCAGCTGTTGTTTTTGTGTTCTTTGAGATGTATTCAGAATTTTTGCTGATGTCTTTGTAATTTTGAAAAGTATATTTCTATTGATGAAAATAATGTTATATTTCCCATGTGGTAGGGATTATTGCAAGGGGAATATGAAGTTGTAGTAAGCACTGGAGTCCTTGGGCGTGGACTTGACCTTGTCAATATTAAGCTGGTTGTGAATTTTGACATGCCATCTAGCATGGATGAATATGTGCACCAGGTAAATATACTTTCTGATTTAAAAGGCGCACAGTGTGATATTGAACCTTTCAACAAAAAGCAAGCCTCATTGCTCAAAAGTCCTACAAAGTACTTGATGATACAAAGTGGACAGTGGAGGAAGGACTTTTGAAATTAGAAGTATGTTGCACATTATAAAGAGTGCCTAAAGAGGTACGTTCTGTGTTATGCTATAGGGTTAAACAATGAATTTATTTTTCCAAGCACATTTTGAAGAAACAGTTAAGAAGACTAGCATTCATTTAAACGTCTATGGAGATTCTTAATCATCCAGGTTATAGTTGTCCCAAAGGTGCTTTTCAAAAAGCAACTGGACTTTCTTTGGTTTTTTTTCTTGAAAACATTTTGCTCCTCATCCGAGAAGCTTCTTGAATGAGAAGTGAAACATTTTCAAGAAAAAAACTAAGAAACTCCAGTTGCTTTTTGAAAAGCACTTTTGGGAACATTCATTTAAATAACTTCCTTACTAAAACTAATTAAAATGCAGTTAGCAACATTGTTTTGTGATGTGTCAATTACTCTACATATCCTGTCCCCCCCCCAAAAAAAATCTTGTGGCTGTAGGTTCAGGACTATCTGTACAGTTACCTATAACATCTGTCATTGATTGTAAGTACCATTGCTTTTCCTTTTTTAGGTTGGAAGAGCAGGTCGGCTGGGTCACAATGGAACTGCAATTACATTTATTAATAATAACAGCAAGAAACTTTTCTGGGATGTGGTAAAGCGAGTTAAACCAACTGGTACCATTCTCCCACCTCAGTTATTGAATTCTCCATATTTACATGACCAAAAGCGGAAAGAACAGCTGAGGAGCAAAGAATATCCGAATGATCTTGTAACTGGGGATAATCTTATGGACATTATTAGAAAACACGATAAAAGTACTTCTCAAAAGTAACAAGCTAAATTTAAAAACATAATTTGTTTATGTTAACTTGTTTTATATGCAAAATTTCAATCCATTTCTGTGGATGTGCTTCAATAAAATATAAGTTTGTAGCCCCATTAATTCAAATGAGAGCTAAGCGAGGTATTAAATTTATTTTTTTTTTCATTTAAACTGATGCTTAATTTTGGTGAGAGCTGATAGTTTATACATCTCCATGCTTATGAGATATAAAGAGTGCCAAGATAATGACTTATCCTGGATCATTTTATACAGTATTTCATTAAGGGCTTAGATCTCAGGTTAAATGGCAAAATACATATGTATTTTCAATGGCTGGGTTTAGTGCAATTTATGTAGAGAAATGGGGAATCAGGAAATCTCATTCGCTGTTATCAAATATTACAGCATTCCACATATACATTTATTTAGTAGCGATTAATCTGAGGGATAAAGGTATTTGATGTGCCTGATGAACTGAAATGCTTTGTGCAAAATAAGCAGTTCTGAATTTGTTTCTTGAAGTGGCTGGTTTTAAAGCAAAAGAATATAAGAAGCATAGAGAGTAACTTAAGTATGGATTAAAATGAAGGCTGTGCTAGTGTTAAAATTATTTAAAATGTACATTTAAGTTCAAAAGATGTTGAAACAAACAACTGGTCAAATACTTCTGAAATATTTATTCAGCTCTACCTATTAGCAAAGATTAAATGTTGTATTGGGGGGGGGGTTAATCTTGTTTTCTTACAAGTAATTATTTCCAGTCCTAGTTCAGACTGATAGTTAATTGGGCAAATAAATTCAATTCACGTGTGTCAGATTTTTTGCCTGGATGCAAATCCAAAATTGAAAAAGGGCAAAAAGATCTTGAATCTGGGATGATTATCTATTCAACTCAGTAGTCAGAAATCTCTAGAATGAGTAATTGTATCTTTTGAGTATCTCGTTTTGAAATTAAAACATGCAAAGATCATTGGCTACCTGGCTGCACAGTAATACATGTGTATAGAAGAACTTCAGCAGAATACAAATTCAATATGCAAGTAGCGTGAGCTTCAGTTTTGGGCATCATTAGTTAAGGGGCAGATCAAGAAGAGATTTCTACCTACCAGATCTTTGTAAGGCAACATTCAACCAGTAGTAAGTGTTGAGCTAGATCAGATCTTCCCAGTCTGGGTACTTTCAAGATAGGTGGATATTAATTCCTCAGGTTTTCGGCAGTATTCATGTTGACTAGGAATTCTGGGAATTATATCTGCACATTTTTCTATTTAATGTAAATATTTATATATTTCCATGAATCTATATAGGGGAATTGAATTGAGTTGGGGAAAACTGGATGAGAGTGACCCAACAATTTACCTCAGTATAAAACAGCTTGGAATAAACATTGATGATTGCAGTGGAGGTAGAGTGGATTTCAAAAGGGAAAAAGGAATACAATTCTTGAACTTGAGATACACTGATTGAATTGTGCAATCAAATTGGTGTCAACTCTTACCGAACACATAGATAGACCACTTCCAGCCTGTCCCTCAGGTCTTCCAATGTTCTGTAGCTGAGTCCACTTTGTTGCTATTCATTCTTTTCTTCTCTTTCATTTCATCTTTCAAGCATTATAGACTTCTCAAGAGATGATATCTATTTACCTACCTACCCTACCTACTGTCAACTGACATGAACTGTCTATAAAACCCATGTTATAAAGCTGTATGAGTTTTTAATTGTCATAAGCAACTTTTTTATTTCTAAAACAAAAATGGCTTCCTCTTTTGCTTTACTTTTTAGTAAAATTATTCAAATAAAGAGTTAATATTTTTTTATTCTACCGTGATCTAACCTTTTATTTAGATTTTGTTTAATAAATTCATACTGTCCTATAAAACTAAAAAGTCTTACTGGGGAAAAAGGGAATTGACAAATCTGAAAAAAAGTCTATGCTAATTTAGACCATAGCTTTTTAATTTGTCCTCTCAATTTTTATTACAGTCTAGAAATACAGCCTGAGACAATAGTTGACTATGGCTAGCCACACTCAAGGCTCCACTTTCATCTAGTTGCAAGAGGGCTTTGCAGACACTTAGGGATTTGAAAGGCTGCTCTTAGATTTATTTATTTGTTTATTTAACAAATGGCATGAAAGAAATGAATAGCAGCAGTAAGGACATATAGAAAGAACATAATAGTATGATGCACATAAGATGGAGATGGAGATGGAGATATATGGCCAATTTTGTAAGGTTATAAAAAATCCAAGAAGTTATATATTAAATTACAAATTCCATTTTAAAATCGAGGGCATTCTGCTATGCCATACTTATCAATTGGAAGGCTTAAATCTAGGAAGCCCCCCCTCCCCGGATATCTGCATAGCAGTTGTACAATACTAACTTTGGTGCAAAATCCCAGTGGAAAGAAAACTGGATTAGTGAACTTCAAGACTCGGGAAAGAATATATCTGACAATACACAAAAATTATTTTTGATGCTACCTGCCAGTGCTGGAAAACTTTGAACAGGATTCACAATTTAACATGGTATCTGTCAAGATTGATCATATTATGTTTAGCTGCCATCAGAGTTTATGCAGGAGGACAAGTAGACTTCCTCCATATTAACAAATACTATGCTTAATTCAATAAAGTCCTAGATATTAATATATAGAATACTTATTTTATCTTTGTTAACCAACATATTTTAAAATGCTCTTAGACTTAGATAATTGAATTGCACAAGCTCTAGAGGTGCAAAATTGGAGAAGGGACATTGCTAGCTATCACAGAAAAGATGTACTAGTAACTTGGCTTCAGATTTGAAAGCTGCAGATACCTAGTGGCTACCTTGTGTTTTAAAGTATTTAAAGGTGACAATTAACTTCTCTGAATTTTCTCTGAATATTGTCCCCATGGGTCTTCATACTGCCAACAGAATAGACTGTATTTCAAAACTGGGAACCTAATTAATCTTGTGGCCATTTAGGCTCCAGAAGTGGTTCTTAGGTTTCAGGTCAAATACTATAATTTAATTTTCTAATAAGTGAGTTCCAGCTAATTTCCTTGCAATACTGTGCTGGGGTCATCAGTGCTTTTTAAAGGCCACTTGGCATTTTTGAAAGTGTTGTTGCATCATCTGCTGAGATAGAATAGAAATTTGTCTTTCAGCAAGTTTGGGGGAGTGAAAGACCATGTTATAGAGATGACCCACCATGGCCTTAATATGAAAGTTAAATAGGATCGGGGCTAATAAGCAGCCTTGCCTGATGCCCATCTGAGTTTTAATAGAACACAGAAATGGCCCTGGGGTTATTTTTTTACTTTAAGTGGCTTATCTTCATGCAGCATATGTCTTAAATGCAGTAGATGCAGGTCAGTTGAAGAGGTGTCCAACTTCTCCCACAATTTAATTCAGAAAATGGAGTCAATTGCTGGTATGAAATCTGTAAATGTGACAAAAAGAGATGTAGGAGGAATGAATTCCAACGAGGTGGTAGAATGTAAGCATCAGAAGCAGATAGCAAGTCTCCAACCAATTCTGGAATATCTATTATGGATACGTTAACATGGAGCTTGCTGATGATGTTAAAGAGGCTAAAATTAACACATTCTTTTTTTATGTATAGGGAGAATGACTCAGGTTCCCAGTCCTTGGGGGCTTGTCCAAAGGTATCTAGGCAGGTAAATAGTGAGAGCAGAAATCCTGATTGTTTTTGGGAAGTCCTGATTGTTTTTAATGGCCTCTAGAGGGCTGATAGAAAAAAGAATGGGAAGGCTGAATTGTTGAAAATTGGGCATTAGATGGGAGTTCCTGAATGGTGACACCATCCTGTTATGTAATTATTAGCCTCTGATATACAATCACAAGGCCAACTGAAGCCAATTATAGCTGTAATTAAGTAACAACTTGTACAACTTAAATAACAATGGAAAAATATCAGGAAATGAAATTTAAACATACACACACACAACTGATTTAAGGAAGTCTAAATATTTTAGGAATATTTTATATTCCAAGGGACTCTTAAGTACATCAAATAATTTATTATTTGTTATTAATCCCATTAACCCACATACACAAACTATTCGTTTGGACATTTAAAGAATTGGACATTCAATACGTTTCTCTTCGACCATATGCTAGTTATTCTACACATCCAACCATCTGAAGTAAAGTTTGGGAGGTCCGTTTCACAGTTGCAGCTTCATCTTAATGTATGATCGAAATCAATGGTTTTTATTACAGAGATTTCGGGCACAAGCAGCAATTTTATTTAGTTTTACCTTTAGAAATTAAGAAAAGCTCGAGATGGAAACGCAACCCTGAAGCAAGTATTTTTTTGAGAGCTGATTGCAGCGAAATTTCATTTTAAAGTATGCTGGATTAGTGTTCATTTAAAGTGACAAAGTTTTTATTCTATTCTATTCCTCTAGTTTTTCTCTCGGCTCGCTTTAGGGCTCTTCCCACCGAAATGGGAAAGAGAGCAAACATCCTCTGAAATATCAGGCTCAGCCCGATTCATTTAGCCATCCTACAGTATTTTGGTCTTGGTTGATCGCGAAATGAAAGTGTTTGATTCAGAACCAGAGGTGTCGCTATAGCGCCCGAGAGGTAATTCTTTGACTAGTCTGGTCTTCCCTGCTTACGGGAGCTGCGTGTGACGTCATCTACCCTCTCAACCAATAGCAAACATCGCGGCGCATTCGAAAAGAGAGTCGGAGGTGCAGCTGAAATGATAGTCTGTTGGTTTGACGTTGAAGGGCAGGTAAGTAGTAACGCGCGAAAAGGTCACTTCTGAATGTGTCTTCCTCTTCTTTACTCGAGGGATTGTTTGCTGAGTTTCTAGATTTCCGTAGGTCGCCGCTTCTTTAACTGGTCTCTTTTGAAGCAGTTTTTCTTGGCATGCGAGAAACACTATAAAGTTTGCCTTGGCAGAAAAAACAAGATTATTGTTTCTTCTAATGTCGGGTTCGGAAAATTGAGAGTTCCCAAATGTTTTTGCGCAATTTGATTGCAAATGCCATCATCCATATTCCCTACAAAAGGTGGGAATTGTAGGCTAGCAATATCCGGAAATTGAGACGTCCCCATCGTTGTTCTAGTTCAGTCGTTTTCCAACTTGCCAACTAAGATGTGTGGACTTCATCTCCCAGAATTCCCCAGTCAGCATGCTGGCTGGGGAATTCTGAGAATTGAAGTTCACTCATCTTAAAGTCGATAACTTTGAAAAACACTTTTTTAGTCTCCTCAGGGAGGATTTCTTTAATTTGAAAATAGTGTCAGATGGGTTTTTTTTCCTTATTCAGTGAATGTGTGCAAGAATTGTAAGGAATTATAATCTGATACCAAAATTATGATAATGGCTCAAGCATTAAGACCTTTTCAAAAATAATATAAGTAACAGAGGTTGATTGGGATCAAAAGATGGGGTTTGTACAACTTTCATAATTGCACAGAAGAGAGTTTTATAAGCCTGATCAAAACATCTGCAGAAACTCCCCCTTTCACATAATTCATCAATTTAAAATTTGCTGCTATATTGTAATGAATTCACTATTCCAAAGTACTGTGTTTTAAGAGGCAAAAATGCTTTTCACATTATTTTTAAAGAAAAGCAGATTGAAAGTTTGATTTTTAAGTTCCATTTACTACTCACTATATACTTTTTCAGTAGAGGCCCTCACTTTGAGGAGTATCCTCACCTAGAAGAAGGGAGATTCCTGTCCTTGCTGCACTTTGTAAGCAGACCCAAACAATCTTCCCCTACTGTGAATTTGGCCATTAGTTTACAGTAGTTTGTTTACTTTTATTGTCGACTTTTTAAAAAAGATATTACAGTAGTAAGTAGTCTTCTGTTGACACTTCTGTCCATTCATTTAGTTATCGAAGCTGCAGAAATAATGAAAAAAAGTGACTTACAACCATAGCAGCTTCCCCATGGTCATGTGATCAAAATTCGGGTGCTTTGGTAACCAGCATGTATTTATGACTGTTGCAGGGACCTGGGGTCATGTGATCACCATTTCCAACTGTCCCAGCCATCTTCAGACAAGCAAAGTCAGTGAGGGAAGTTGGAGTTGCTTAATGACCACGTGATTCATTTAACAAACTTGGCCAAAACAGGTTGTAAAATTGAATGTGACTCAGTGAACCACTCAGTTAACACCTGCCTTGCTAAGTCACAGAAATTCTGGTCTCAGTTATGCTGATAAATCACAATATGTTAATTTTGTATGCTTTACAATTTTCTCCGCTTTAATTTTGTTGTACCCTATAGCATTTGTTAGGAATAAGAAGGATTATAAATACTGCGAAATATTTGAATAAATATGACTTTAAATGTCAACTAAATGCCACTAGTTAGTAAGATATATTCTAGCAGTGCAGTCTTATTTGAAAATTAAAAGGTATTTTACAAGCTGGAATCATTAATCATTTGACTGGATAGGCTACCACCTACTGTACAATCCTAAAGCACTTTATTCTGAAATTTTCCACCTGAAAATAACAATGCTTTTTTCTTTTTTTCTTTAACAGATGCCATCATGACACATTTTGTTTACATTATATAGAAAGTGAGATTAGGAGTCAATTTTTTTTTTCAGGCAGACCTTACATGAGGTAACTTCAGTTTTACAGCTGTAGTTGCTAGTATTCAGCTTCAATGTCTATTGTTTCTGTTCCTAAGAAAAGCCACGCTAGTGAGCTTGGCAGGTCTTCACAAAAACCGCCCTCAGGAAATGTCTCTTCAACACTTGGATTTGGACAATTAAAACCGTGCATATTAGAATACGAGAGAACCAGTTCACTCTCACAACCTTTGAATAAGACTGCG